TAGGGAGAACTTGACGGGCAGGGGTCCTGAGCACTAGAATGGATGACTCTGAAAGATATTTCTGTAGATCTTTGCCCTTCTGAGCTAAGGCAGAGCAAAGAGTCCTAGAAACAGATGAGGAGCAGATGATCTTTGGCTCTTTGATGACTAGTAGCTTGTAGGTCACCACACAAATGCAGTCTTCCCTTACTCCTGGCTTCCACCAGGGCAGCTGAGAAAGAAAAGCCTAGGAGGCCTCAGAAGACCCATGGAACCTTGTCTGCAAGCATCTGCCTGGTGAGGGTAGAATGAGGAGCAGCAATTACCCCCACTTTCCTGCACAGAAAGGTGCCTTAGGGGAGAGGCAGCCACCCCTGGAGTGAGGCCTGGCAGCTACAGGGTTAGATCGTCCATCCTCCACCCAGGAGACACTGTCAAGTAGCTCAACCTGTAAGAGCTGGGAAATCACATTGTCCATGCACATATTTGGTGCTCATTAAGTTCTTGTTGACTGGGGACTGCGATTTGGAGCTTTTGTCAGCTTTTATGCGTGCTGCAGGGGCCACCTGGGAGAAAGATGGAGATGACATTTGGAGGGTGGTGAGCAAGCTGATCATATTTTCATAATCCCAAATCAAATGCTTGTTTTTGACAACAGATTTTTTAATATAATGTGTCACTTCGTCTGAAAAAAATTTTCATGTGAGAATAATGCACCTCGGGTTATGTATTTAGCCAATCTCCATTTTAAAAAAAGAACAAGAAATGGTGGGACCGTCATGGCAAATACAAGGTGCCATGTGTTATGTGGCTTTGCATTTTCCCTCCACAAGCTCCAGAGTGGACGAAGAACTCACCTGGCTTCTCTGGAGCCAGAACCAGCCCAGTATACCTGGAGCAGCACTGGGAACCTTTCCTCACTCCCCTACCACGAACACAAGCTCCAGCCAGGATGGAGAAGCTGCTCGCTTGTGTATTCTCGTGGGATGCCCCTTGGAGCCCAACAACCTGTGCAGCCCAGAGGCAGATGGGCAAAAGGGAGGGATGGGCTGGAGCTACAGCAGGGAAGCCTAGGAACCAGCAGGTTTTCTCAGGCCTCTTGAGAAAATGCCAGCAGAGAAATGCTAGGAAGGCCCTGTATTGTTATCTACTCTGCAATGCACATTCCCCTACCCCCACCATTTTAATGTCTTTGAAATCATGATGCATTTTACAATGGACGACATCTTGGAGCTCTACTGGTTGGATAGCATTTTTTTTTTTCTTTCTTAGTGGTACATAAAATAGTGGTGCATTTTCATTCAATTTTGTCTTAGAGTCTATGAAATGTGGTGATTAGTATGATAGTCATTGGCTATAGCAGCTGGGCTGAGAGAGCTGGATCTTCCAGGCCAGCTGCTACCTCATCCCAAGGGTCACTTGGGTTTGTCCTGCAGCCAGGGCCCAGGGACAGGCTTTGTCTTTTCCTTCCTTTACTTCCTCCCAAGGAATTGGTGGCTGCATCTTGAAATCCATCTCCCTTCATCCAGCCGCCTACTTTTCAGGATGGGCCATAGGAGGCAGTGTGCCCAGGAGAACCTCAGACCCTCGTGAGCTGCATTTGAACAGCACCAGTCCCTTCATCTCACTGAGCCATTGGCTTGTGGTCTGATTGCTTGTTTCATTTCATTCTTTTGCTTGGTTTGATTTTTAAAGTCGACGTTCTCAAGGGCTTACCTGTGCCTGGCACATGGCCATGAGTCATCTTACTTAATACTCACAATTGTTGTTACCTCTATTTTGCGTATGGGAAAACTGGGCTCAGGAAAGCCAAATAATCTGGCTGAGGCCCCAAAGTTAGTAAGTGGTAGAGTTGGGACTTGAACCCAAGGTTTTTAGTCCTCAGCTCGAATGTTATATGAGCACCTCTCAGGCTAGAGTACCTCCTCTGTGGCAGTGGATTTGCTGATGTCTGAATTCCTGCTCAGCTTGATATTTATATGGTGAGAGCCAGCCAGGCAACCCCTGCTTGTGAGAGATGCCAGCCCCAATTATGTAAGGTGCTGAAGACACGATAGAAACCAGGGCTGACACCAGGTGTTAAAGATAGCCCTGTACCGGCCGGGCTCGGTGGCTCACGCCTGTAATCCCAGCACTTTGGGAGGCTGAGGCGGGCAGATCATGAGGTTAGGAGATTGAGACCATCCTGGCTAACATGGGGAAACCCCATCTCTACTAAAAATACAAAAAAATTAGCTGGATGTGGTGGTGGGCACCTGTAGTCCCAGCTACTGGGGAGTTTGAGGCAGGAGAATGGCATGAACCAAGGAGACGGAGCTTGCCGTGAGCCCAGATTGCACCATTGCACTCCAGTCTGGGCGACAGAGCGAGACTCCATCTCAAAAACAAAAAAACCAAAACAAATAAACAAACAAAAAGCCCTGTACCAAGGTACTTATAGGGGTTACAGATATTTAGGCATTTGCTATGTTTTTCCTTTTTTTCTATAATATAAATATACTACATTTGTATTAGCAACAAAAAACAACAAGAACCACCAATAATAAATAATAGATTAGAAAATCAAATGCGTGAGGCCTTTCTCAGAACTTGGGTACAGGGACTCTCCCTCACCCTGCAGAAGTAACCAGCACTCCAAAGAATGAATGCTCACCCTCAACCCCACCCTGACCTGCAGTGCTCACATTTGCCATCTACATTGTGCTCATAATTTTAAATCCTAGACTAGGTATGGCTCATGCCTGTAATCCCAGCACTTTGGGAAGCCAAGGCAGGAGTATCTCTTGAGGCCACGAGTGTGAGACCAGCCTGGGCAACATAGTGATGAGACCCCCATCTCTACAAAACATTTTTAAAAATTAGCCAGGCATGGTAGCACATGTATGTAGTTCCAGCTACTTAGGAGGCTGAGGTGGCAGGATCAATTGAGGCCAGGAGTTGAGGCTTCAGTGAGCTATGATTGTGCCACTGCACTCCAGCCTGGGTGGCAAAGTGAGATTCTGTCTCTATTAAAAGAAAATTAAATCCCAGTTTACATCCTCCCTCCTCCAGGAAGTTCTCCACAAACACCCCAGCCACACACATGTACATATGCTGCTGAACATCAACTGTAGTGGACACTGTGGAGTGCCGCCCAGATCCCCCTGCAGGACCACAGCCCTCATCTCCAACTACTGGGAGTGTTGGCAACTGACAGTTCTGGGCAACTGCCCACTGCTGAGGAGAGATGCCTCTTTCAAGGTCACACTGCTTTCTCTGGGACAGCCGCAAGCTATGACATCTATGAGAGGGGATTAAAGGCCCTACCCTGTTGCCCTCATTTTGCCAACTGGTAGGGTGCCCTGTGGGGTCGCCCGATGCCTTTGTAGTGACTTCTCCCTCTGGCCTGTCCTGCTTCCTCACTCCTTTGCGCATCTTGATCCTGAGAGCACTACCCAGTACATTTCCCGCAGGCTGATTTCCTCTTCAGAGTCTACTTCTAGGGACCTGTATTAGTCTACTCTGGCTGCCGTGACAAAAATACCACAGACTGGGTAGATTAAACAACAGAAATCTATTTCCTCACAGTTCTGCAGGCTGGGACATCCCGGATCAAGGTATCAGCAGGACTGATTTCGCTTAAGGCCTCTCTCTGTGGCTAGTAGATGGCTGCCTTCTTGCTGCATTCCCACATGGTCTCTCCTCTGTGCGCGCATCCCTGATGTCTCTTTTTATGTCCAAAGCTCCTCTTATAAGGACTCCAGTCAGATTAGGTTAGGGCCCACCCTAAGGGTCTCATTTTAACATAATCACTTCTTTAAAGGCCCTGTATCCTAATGCAGTCACATTCTGAGGCACTGGAGGTTAGGACTTCAGCATATACCTTTTGTGGGTTGAGGGAAGAGCATAGTGCAGACTGTAACAGGACCCAGCATACAGCACCTATGGCACCCTCAGGTACCTTTCAAGTGAGAAGGGGTTTTCTTCCCAGTTGCACTAACAGAACCTTTGAATTCAGCAAATGTCTGTTGAGTACATACTGCCCGCAAACCACAGTCAGGAGTTGGAAAAGAACAAGATGGTATGTTTTTTTGTTGTTGTTCATTCCAAGAACAAGAGGAGGAATGAGCAAGACAGGTTGTAACTCTTGTGACGTCTACACCTCAGTGAAAAAAAGAGACTCCTAAATAGGTGTCTCGTGCAGCACTGGGGTGTGTTTCAGTGCTGCAGGACCCTGCAGAGGATGGGTGATGGCTCGGGCAGGAGGACATGGGTGGATTCTAGGCCAGGAGGATTCTGGGCAAGACTCGCTTTGAAGGATGCATAGGGACTGGAAAAGCAGAAGGAAGGAAAGTGAAGGGAAGAGTTTTCCAAATCCCTTTCTTATTTGTAAAGTAGGGATAATAATTAGACAAGATCAGGCATGTTCCAGGTAGTACGGCCATAGACAGGGAAAATAATTAAAAGCCTCTGACGGTTGTTTTGAAGATAAATGAGACAGTATATCAAAAAACTTAGCGAACTATAAAACCTTTTACAAGTATATGATGCTATCATCAGCAGCAGGGAGTTGGGGGAGAAGCTGAGAGCGATGGTCAGGATGGGGGCAGTGAGTGTGCCTCATATGCCTCAGGCCCCTGACACTGCTTTGCACAGTGCTTTATGCCCAGCAGGTTCAATAGATGCTGATTGAGTAAATGAATGTCAGAAGCAGCCCAAGGCACCTGATCAATACATACATGCAGGCCTCCCGCTGTGGGCTCCAAATGGGAAGAGGGCCCAGTTGGCTTTGTAGAATACAGCATCAATATGACACATGCTTCATTACCTTAGAACTGGAAGATTTGCTGCATGGTGGCATTCCATGTCACCCCACATGGAATTAGGCACTTTGCTTTTCCCCAAGGCTCCAGAGTGATGGTGGTGGGTAAGACATGATCCATACTCCTCTACCAAAGCTGGAAGAGTGGGTGTGTCAGACAGGGATGAGAGTGTGGAGGTTGGGCAGACCTTCTTCCACTATCCCTTCTGACCCACTGCAGGAGGTGTGCCCTATTCATTGATTGGACATGGCATCACATTCATCCCAAATGGCATCAATTGGCGGTTTTCGGTTTGGGGTAGCAAAGTACCTGGAAGTCACGTGCTTTGTATGGAATGCCTTGGAATGCAGATAAGTTTAATTCTATTGTGTAAAATATGAAGACTTTTGTTAGCTGAAAAGCCAACTATATTATCCGTGCATTATGCTTCAGTCACAACCAAAATTCAGGCTGTCAAGTTCATCAACTCCTGATGCCTCCCAACTCTGCTCCTGAGCCCCTCTGGTCCCTTTTCTCTGTGAATATGCCACACCAGCCTCCCAGAGTCCCAGGCAGAAATCCTCGTGTTACCCTTGACTCCTTATCTCCCTGCTTGTCCCGTACCCACTTTTGCCCCACATCTATGCAAGGACCAAGGACCATGAAATTGACTTCCAGTTTAACTCCTGATTCTGAACAGGTCTCTCCATCCTCATTCCCACTATCTTCATTCAGATGACCACAATTTCTAACCTAAATTACAGCCAAAACGTCACTCCCCTCTGAGCTCTGTTCTACATCATACACCTTTCTAGAACACCAGTCCAATAGGGTCATGTCTCTGGGCCCAACCTCTCAGTGACTTTCCAGCTGACAAGACTCAATCTGGCCTACAAATGTCCCTGCGGTTTAATTATCCTCAACATTACTGCCATACCCTACATTTTTGGCCAAGCAGAATTGCTGTTTGATGATTTGGGACCATGTCATATTGTCTCTCTGGAACACGCCCCGCCTCAACCCCTCTCATTTCGCAGGCTAAGTTCTCCTTCTACTTCATCCCAGATGATACTTACTTCAAGACACCTTTCCCCTCCATGGGATGAGATGCCCATTCTGCAGGGCTCTCACTGCCTGCATCCTGCCAAACCTCATCATCTCTTATCTGGATTCCTGCTACAGCCTCCCAGCTGGTGCCCTGCTTCCACTCTGGGTCCCTCCTCTTCGTTCTCCACAATGCTGTCAGCATCACCTATTTGAAAGGCAAATCAGATCATGTGGCTCCTGCTGCCCTTAGGATCAAGTATAAACTCCTACCATGACCTTTATGGCCCTCTATGATCTTGCCTATTGCAACCTCCCCAGACTCAACCCTTGCCAGGTCCCTCCGCATCCGCTATCCAGAATCTCTTTCAGGCCCTCTACCTGTTCTCTACCTCTGTGCTTTGCATATACTGCTTCCAATGTCTAGACCTTCCATTGACTCCCAGTTCTTTACCTGGCTAATTCCTACACATCCTTCAGGTGTCTGTCTGTTGAACATGACTTCCTCTAGAAAGCCTTCCCTGAATACCTGAACTTCCCTGAATTCCCTGAATACCTGAGGCTATGTATCTCTCTCCCTGTTCCATTTCCTACTAACTATCACCCATAGATGTAATTGCTTGATTAATTGGCTGTTGCTTCTCCTAGAATGTGATCTGCAGAGCCATGTATATTTTGTTCCTGCTTATGTTTCTAGAACTATATAAAACAATGCTTAATAAATATTTATAGAATCAAGAATGAATGAATACCCATTTCTGTTTTGATGACTGGAAGGTAGCAAGCCTGGTTCACTCAAGTGTGTGGGGCATGGGTCATGCTTAAGAAGTGTTTGTTAAATGAATAAATAAATGATGGATCAGCTCTGTTCAAGCTCATCTTATTATATGTTTAAAAAAATTTGTGCTTGCTCATTTGTCCTACTAGCTGTAAAAACTTGCTAGCAAAAGAGTGGCAGAAGGCCCAACATTTTAAGAAAATTCTTAGCCGTAAATCTTAAAATCCCGAGTTGGAGAATTCTCATTATTAAATGCCAGGAGTTGGTCTTCTCCCTGGAGACCTCTGCAAGAGGCCCACCCACTGACACCCTGTGTCCGTTTTTCCTGGCCAGAGCCTGGCCACCCAGTGGCTCCGCCGCCCCGATGGATCCACTGAATCTGTCCTGGTACGATGATGATCTGGAGAGGCAGAACTGGAGCCGGCCCTTCAACGGGTCGGACGGGAAGGCAGACAGACCCCACTACAACTACTATGCCACGCTGCTCACCCTGCTCATCGCGGTCATCGTCTTCGGCAACGTGCTGGTGTGCATGGCCGTGTCCCGCGAGAAGGCGCTGCAGACCACCACCAACTACCTGATCGTCAGCCTCGCGGTGGCCGACCTCCTCGTGGCCACACTGGTCATGCCCTGGGTTGTCTACCTGGAGGTAGGTGGGCTCCCCGCTTGCTCCAGCACTTTCTCCAGCAGGGCCCTGCCTTGGACACTGGGGACTCTAGCTCCCCACTGGCTTTTACCAGTGAGTTTCCTGGTGGTTCCCCAGGTGATTTTTCCTTCACTCTGGGCTTACTTTTTCTCCTTTTGAAACGGGTAGATTGTTTCCTTAGTAATCACAACTACCATTTGTAAAGTGCTTGCTAAGTGCTGGGCCTCATGTAAGGACTTTAAATATAGCGTTTTCCTATATAACCCTCACAGCAGCTCAGAGGCTGGCATTATTGCCACCATTTTGCCGTTGATAAACCAGGTGGTCAGAGAAGTTAAGTGACTGCTGCAGCATCACACGCTGGCAAGTCCAAGCTGGAACACTGGCCTCAGAGTTAGTTCCTTACATCATATTGGAAATAGGAGTAACTGGCGAGGATCCCCAAGGAGGGGCGTGTTTATGCTCCCAGGCCCCTGAAACCTTCATTCCCATCTCCCCACTTCAGAAACGGGGCTGCTGCTCTATGCTCCCCACATCACCTCTCCTTCCCGCAGCTTATTCTGGGGCCCTGTCCAGGACCTCCAGGTAGAGGCTGCCATGGACTGTGCTGTAGCCCTTTTGTTAGGAAGAATTGCATAGTCACTCGTTTCTTGGCCCAGCTCTGCACCTCAAAATGGGGAGTAGGCAGCACAGTCTAGACACTGTGCCTGATGCATTGCTGACACAGACCCAGTGAATACTCTTGGTAACCCTGGGAGTCCATGTTACTCTTCTCACTTTACAAAACAGGAAACAGGCTGGGCACAGTGGCTCACGCCTGTAATCCTAGCACTTTCGGAGGCCAAGGCAGGCAGATCATGAGGCCAGGAATTCAAGACCAGCCTGGCCAACATGATGAAACCCCATCTCTACTAAAAATACAAAAATTAGCCAGGTGTGGTGGCACACGCCTGTAATCCCAGCTACTTGGGAGGCTGAGGCAGGAGAATTGCTTGAATCTGGAAGGCGGAGGTTGCAGTGAGCTGAGATTGCACCATCGCACTCCAGCCTGGGCGACAGAGTGAGACTCTGTCTCAAAAACAAATAAAATTAAAATTTTAAAATTAAAATTTAAAAAATAGGAAATAGAGGTTTTGGAGAAGAAGTTGCCTTTCTTCACCCAGGTCACAGGGAGAAATGCTGTTGGAGAAATCCCAAAGCAGATATTCTTCTCCAGGAAGACACCTTCAGGGCCAGCAAGCAGATGTGGGAGCATTTAGGGATCATCAGTGGGCACAAGCCGGATCCTGCCGCTTTCTCTGCCCGGCTTTCTAGGGTGGCCTGTCCAAGGCTGAAGCAACCTGGGAGTCTGGGTGCATGGGAAGGCATGGGAGCAGGCATTTAGGAAAGTGCCGGTGCTCTGCCCACTGAACCGTTACCTTCCTGTCCCGAGCAGAAGAGGAATTGACCAGTGCCTCTGAGGCCATCCCCGCCTGAGAGGGAAGGGGTTGTTGAAAGAAAATGCCAAAGCTTTGTAGGTTTAAACAGAGGAGACATCTAGACGAGCAAGCTCAGGTGAGGAGGCGAGACTGGGGGAAAGTGGCTCACCTCCCTGTCCCCAGGCCCCCAAGGGGCTCGTGCGCTTACTGTTGTCACCACCACCCCGACCCCAAGGGAGCTCTGATCCGTCACCCCTTGGCTTCCTTTACTACAGCCAATGCAGGCTGCAACTTCCAAAATGACCTAATTGGATATTAAGGAAGAACCAATAGGAAACACAAATACAAAACCACTTAAAAATATTCAGTTGACACAGGCCCGGAGTCCAGTTCCCCCTGGATCCATGTTTATGAGGGCCCCTAGACTCTGTCTATGCCTTCTTAATTCTTACACTTGATCCCCTCCTTCTTCTCTCTTCCAAAGGAGGTCCTAGATCTCAGACCATAGGGAAAAATGGCAGAGCAAACAGCCTCTCTGTGCCTCAGTTTCCTCATCTAGAAAATGCAGATAATAGTATCGTACATCATAGCATTGTTGAGGATCAAATGAATTGATGTATGAAAAGTGATTAGAATGTACATGGCTCACAGTGAGCACTACATAAATGTCAGCCATGGTGATGATGATTAAGAGGAAGATGACGATAGATATCCAGCACTGCTCCACATAGGGAGCACTCCTCGTTCCTCTTCACTGCGCCATGGGATAAAGAGGAAGGAGAGGGTACTCCCTATGTTCACCCCAGGCAAGTAGGTACCCTCTTCCCAAAGGAATGTGTGTTCTGCCCGGGGCTCTGGGCATGGCTTCTGTTGGCTTCCAGACCCCCTGTCCCTACCCAGATACTTGAGTAGAGACAAATCCGTACGTGGGCTATAGGGAGTTCTCAGGAACCTGTAAGTCTTTCAAACATCCTTTAAACATGCTTGTTCACCTTATTTTAAAGGTGAAGCTGAGTGTGTCAGGGGAGGAGGGTGCAGAAGCCGTTCTCACAGGGCAGGGCTCAGACTCTCCCACAGCATCTCATCAAGCTAGAGCTGGGCACTGAGCCTTGTTTAATGGACATTATCTCAGAGATTTGTCCCTAGAGAATGTCCCAGGTGGCATCTCACCTTGCCCTGACGTCCTGTCAGTGCACCCTCACAACCATGCACTGTCCCCTCTTTGTGTTCTTGTCATCCAGACTTTTTCCTCCTGTTCCATTTCCAGCAATGCCATGCCGGCGCCTGTCTGGCTTAGGACTAGGTGTGCATTATTTATCTTGCTCAGTGTACAAAAAGCACACTGGTTTTGGAGTAAGAGGACCAGGTTCAACTCCCAGCTCTACTCCTTTTGTCTAGATGCTATGGGAAGAGTTCCTGATGTCCACATGTGCCATTCCATGTCAGCCTCACAACCCTTTAAAGACGGGCTTCCTGTGCGCATTTATTTTCTAGATGAGAACAGGAGACTGAGAAGATGAACAAAGATCTCAGAGTTATTCATTCACTCAGTCAGCATTGACTGAGCACTCTGAGGTCTTACCCCAATCTTTGTGCAATGGGCTAAGGCACTGGCCTGTGGGGGATGCAGAGGTTGACAGGGCTCCTACAGTGCAGTCTGCTGCAGGTGACAGTGGAGCAGTCCCCATAGGAGGTGTGGGGCATGTGGCCCAGCATGGGGGTGTCAGGGAAGACTTTCAGGGAGAAGTGATGCTTTAGGAAAAATTACCCAGGAGAGGGAGGGAGACCCTTGCATTCTCAACAAAGCCACCCAGCAGGGAGAGGGAGTAGCTGGCTGGAGGTATGGAGGAGAGGTGCTCATGTCATTTGCCTCTGAGGCTTACTGTCTGCATTCTAAGACATGAGCATCAAGTGGTTGGAACAGTGCCGACATATGATAAGTCCTTAGTATTATTATAGTTATTAGGACTTAGCTGAGCCAGCTCAGGGCCTATACTGCAGGTCTCAGCTTTATGTGAGCAAGAGCATTACGAAATGATGCCTGGGTGCCTGGGGGTATGAAGAAAAGAGCCTTGGGTTCAACTAGCAAACCTGGGACCACTCCTTCCTCTGCTACTAAATCACCAAGTGATCTTGTTCTGTTTTCTTCTCTGACCCTCCCTAGTTTTGTGCACCCTTGAAATAATCATCTTTCCTTTTCACACCTCATGCTTACCAAGTAGTTGTCACATAATTATCTCCTATTTTGATAAGCTAGATGGTTCCTTCCAGGACAGCTTAGTAGAGAGCATGGGATGTGATGCTTCAGATTCCAGCTCTGCTGCACACCTGCCGGGTGAACTTGGCCACGTTACATGGCCTCTCTGAGCGTAAGCTCCCTCACCTATGAATGGGAAAAGCAAGCCCTTCTTGTAAAAGTTTTAAGAACTGTACATGAGATAAAGTGCCATGCCCACAGTAGATGTTTTATGGACAGTGGCCACCAATGCATTTTCTTGAGTCTTTAGATTAGCAGCCCTAACTACTCTCCAAGGCAGCTTCCCCTGGGACCACAGAGGAAATCTCTTTGTTATTCTGGGCTCCAGAGAGGCCAGTACAAGTAGAGATTTAAGATGCCCATGAAGGCAGGACTGTGTCTGAATTGCTCACGACTGTGTCCAGGAGCCTAGGATAGAGCCTGGCATACAGTAAGTTGCTCAATAAGTGTTTGTAGGAAAGAAGGATGGCAGAGAGGAGGGAAGGAGAGGAGGAAGACAGGGAGGAAGGCCCTGATATCTCAACCTAGATCCCCAGGGAGCCAGTGAAAGCGGCTCCCAAGTACCAGTCCTAGGAGGGGCTTCAAAGTGGGATGTAAACCAGGTGGCGCTGGTTCCCTGCCCAGTGGTACCCTAAAGGTACACTCTGTTTATGCCAGGAAAGCCCTTTATGTGCCCTCCTGCCTCCACCCCCAAACTAGACATCCAGCTGTCAGCTCCTGCCCACCTGGTCAGCGCAGCAGCACAGGGAGCCAGGAGAGGCCCTAGTACGGGGCCCCCATGTGAGCCCCTGGGAAGACAGTGCCGCATGAGAGGCTGGCTGTGTTCTGGGGCAAGCTGCTGTTTCTGCCACACGAGATGACAGCAGCTGCATTGCCCATCATTGAGCTTAAATGCCAGCATTTGGTTGGATGACTAGGAGCAGAAGAGAGGGCAGTGATCAGAATGAGCAAGGTTATAATTAGCCCTGCTGCCGAGCTGTGCAGTGGCACGCAGTCTGCCCTACTCCAGCCTGCGGGAGGGGCTTTCCCGCTCCCCTCTGCTCCTATTGATAGAAGCCAAAGGTGCATCTCCCTGTCCTGACTCCATCCTCAGGGAACTGGGGCTGCTCCAAGCTTCCCGAGTGCTAGCGACAGTCTGCCATGTGTGCCTGTGTGTGAATGGGTGGTATGAGGTGGGGGGGCAGTGTGTGTGCATGTGTGTGTGTGTGCCTGTGTGCATGTGTGTATGAGAAACGTGCTGCTGCCAGGAGCTAGACTCTCCATTTCCCATCCTACCAAGGACACAGCTCATCACAGCAACCCCTCTGCCCACCCCAGCCCACTCGGGCATTCCTCGAGCACTAGCCCAGATCTGCCTTCTTTCATTCTCTGGGTATAAGAAGGAACAGAAATTTCTTCTCTGTTTCATGGAGAGTCTTCATCTTCACCATTATTCTTAACGGATAATTTTGGGGCCCCGACTCTGCCATGTACTGCGCCTACCACTGAAGGGCTTGCCTGGCGCAGCCAGAGCCTGGGCCAGAGCAGGACCAGGAACTGGGCCCACAGGCCTTGGGGAAATCACTGCACTTTTCAGAGGCTCAGTTTCCTCACTGGTTCTCAGTTTCCTCATGGGCATTCTAAAATTTTACCTGGAATCTAATTTACAGAGGTATGGCTGAGTGACAGCACAGGGAAGCCAGTGCCATTGGGAAGAGTTTAACGTGATGCACAATATCCGTAGAAACCAGATGCTCGGCCTGCCATGTGGGGTGCAGGGGGAAGCAGCAGGCTTAGGTAAAGAGGCAGAATCTTAGGTAAGGAGGGAAAGCCCAGGCCACAGCCCTGTTGGGGATCCCACAGGAAACTCAAGGCAGGGCAGATTAAACAGCCTAGGGGGCTGGGCACGGTGGCTCTCGCCTGTAATCCTAGCACTTTGGGAGGCCGAGGTGGGCCAATCATGAGGTCAGGAGATCGAGACCAACCTGGCTAACACAGTGAAACCCCATCTCTACTAAAAATACACAAAATTAGCCAGGCGTGGTGGCAGGCGTCTGTAGTCCCAGCTACTCAGGAGGCTGAGGCAGGAGGATGGCGTGAACCTGGGAGGCGGAGATGGCAGTGAGCGGAGATCGCGCCACTACACTCCAGCCTAGGCGACAGAGCAAGACTCCATCTCAAAAAAAAAAAGAAAAAAGCAACCTAGGGTTGGTTGGCTAGTCTCAATCATCCTGGCAGGCTTTGGGCTACAGGGGTGATCTCTAGTTGTCTCTCTGGTACCTGAGATAATTTGGGACAGAGGAAATATTGGCTTGATGTGTGTGTGAGTTGGAGAAACAGGGTGGCTGGCTTGCATTTGAGAGGCATCCTTCCAAGTCAGTCACTTTCTGTCTTCAGGAATTAACTAGCTCTGGGACAGGAAGTCTCTCTGTGGGTCTGCAAGGCTCCGACGTGCCAGCATATCATGAATGGAGAAAATAGAAAAATATAGTCAACATAGGTGTCTCTGTGATAAATGGATGGCAAATACACAAATACAGAATCTAAGAAAACACACAGGGTTAACAAAGGTTGCAGAGATTAAGGTTGAAAGTTGAGGCCCTCTGTATAAGTTGGCTGTGTTTCTTCTAGCACAGTAATTTGGCATTAAGTGGTCTTACGTATCTGGGAAAAGACGAGCCAGGGGCAAGGGCCTCAGACACCCATGGGCATCATGCCCCATACCCCAGCTGGATGCCCACAAGACTCGCAGCTGTCTCCTGAGTCTGTGGCCTCATCGGCTCCAGGAGTACCAGGCTACAGGACCTAAGCTAATCTCCTGCTCCTGCTGTTCATCCATTATGTTGCTTTATCCCCAGGTGGTAGGTGAGTGGAAATTCAGCAAGATTCACTGTGACATCTTCGTCACTCTGGACGTCATGATGTGCACGGCGAGCATTCTGAACTTGTGTGCCATCAGCATCGACAGGTGAGCCCAGCCAGGGTGGAAGAGGTTGCTCTGGCCACTCACCATTCCCTCTGCCCCAGCTTTTCTCAAAGCCAGACTGTGTCTGGTGTCTGTGGTGCTGTGCAGCTGGCTGTGTGCATGTGGGTCCATGTGTTTGTGTGTATGGGCGTACATGTGTGTATGTTTGGCTAGGGGAGCACACACTCCCTAAAGAGAAGCCATCTATGGGCAGTGGTGCTGCCAAGCATATTCAGACAGCGACTGGTATAAAAAGGAAAGACTGTGATTCTGATGGAAGCCCTAGCTCTATCACATCTCACTCATGTGACCTTGGGCAGATCATGGACATTTTCGGAGCTCTCAGTTCCATTTTCTAGAAACCTACACTGATGACACCTGCGGCCCAGAGCTACAGTATCTGGTTATGCATTTTATGTCCTTGGCACATGGCCAAGGGTCCCAGGCCATGCACACCTTGCTAAGTTGCATTCTTGGAGGCTTCCACTAATTTGCACAGATATGACCCTACCTCCCTCACAGCATTCTTGGAAGATGAAATAAGTTAATGAATGAGAAGTGCTGGGTAAACAAATGTGATGAAGGATTGTGAACAAATGACATTGTTAATTCCTACTAAGGCTTAAATCTTGCTCTGAGGGGCCTGGCTAACAATTTATCAACAAACATTTCCACCTTTCATGGGCTCAGCACAAGTGCAGTGGGTACAGTTTCAAAGGTGCAAAGATCCTCACCATGGTTCTTTGAAAAGCCTGAAATCCGAGTGGGGCTATTTAGAATAACAGATATGAGCCAAGAGTAAACAATAGCTCACCAGTAATTAAGTGTTTGGGCTTTGCCAACTGTCCTCGCCATCTTTGTTTGGGGACAGGAGGGAGGGTTGAGTTAGCATCTCAGGCAAGCTTCATAGAGGTGTGTCAACTTTTTAGCCCCAAGGAGTGAGGGTGCCTCTGGTGTGTGCATGTTGTGGAGTGAGGGGTCCCTGGGCCTGCACCTCAGATTCAGGGTCCCCCACGCTTGCAGGTACACAGCTGTGGCCATGCCCATGCTGTACAATACGCGCTACAGCTCCAAGCGCCGGGTCACCGTCATGATCGCTATCGTCTGGGTCCTGTCCTTCACCATCTCCTGCCCACTCCTCTTCGGACTCAACAACACAGGTACGTTCTGCTTTTGTTTGCCTGGGGCTCGGCTGGCCCTGGGCCCCTGCTCCCTCAAAGGGCCCTGAGGGAGCAGAGTCCCTGGCACAGATATGGGTGGAGGCCCAATGGGGACCAATCGCCACCCTGGACTGAGTCCAGGCTACGTGTCCTGGGCCAAGCCCAATTCAAGAATCGTCCTAGGTTGGCAGAGAGGAAACTGTGGTCCAGGACACAGTGGAGTTCAATGAGGAGTGGGGATAATGGTTCAGGGGGATGACTGGGAATTTTCAACTTTGGTTATTAAGTTGAAGAGGCAAGACAGGCTTCACAAACTGCATGTGTATGTATGTGCACACGCACACGGGATGGGGGAGGCTCGCTGGGCTTCCATCTGCCCCTGACAATGGTATTTTTGTAATGAAGTTGCAGCCCTCAGGGCCCGCTAAACCCAGGCCAGGCCTGAGTCACCTGGAGCAGGAAAGCTAGAAGCAAATAGGAGGTGAGCTGACCGCGTGCCCATTTCTGTGGGAGGCAGAGTTAGGAGTGTCTCAGACAGAGAGAACAAAAAGCCCCCGACAGCGTGGAACTTCCTCTCATCAGGGAGGCAAGAGCGATGGCAGGTGTGCACCTCTGGAGATCGTAACAACATAGGATACAGTGAAGCCTTGAAAATGTGTGGTTCAGTATCTATTATAAGCATCACAGGAATTCTAAGTGGGAATAGCGCTAAATATACTTGGATTAATGCAGGAAGGCTCTGAGATAGAGGACAGGCATGTGGTAGACCTGGAGTGCACACAAACATATGAAACACATAGGAACACAAGTGAGTTCAACAAACAGAGCCAAGTTATCTTGCTGCAAACATTAAAAGGTGGCCAACCTCTCCCAAGACACAGGTCAGACTAAGATGATGGTTTATTCTTTTAAAAGTTTTTTTGTGTCATTCCTTCTGGATACTCCAGCTTCACTTTTCATGCCCAGACATGGCAAAACTAATGACCAAGTAATGAGGGAATAGTAATGGAAAGACTTGGGAGCAGTCCATCATCATAGCTTAGGTTTTTGCTCACAACATGTTTTTAATACTCTGGTTTCTGCTGTGCATTTATATGTATCTAAGATGACCAGGCAACCTTAAACATCTAGTCGCATTCATATTCTCTGTAAAATCGCTCCTCATTTCTGGAAGGACATGAATGGGCTCTTGTGGAATTATGACCCAGTGGGCCCACTGACTCCCTGCCCGCCTGGGCTCTCCCTCCCCCAGACCAGAACGAGTGCATCATTGCCAACCCGGCCTTCGTGGTCTACTCCTCCATCGTCTCCTTCTACGTGCCCTTCATCGTCACCCTGCTGGTCTACATCAAGATCTACATTGTCCTCCGCAGACGCCGCAAGCGAGTCAACACGAAGCGCAGCAGCCGAGCTTTCAGGTCCCACCTGAGGGCTCCACTAAAGGTCTCAAGACACCCCCCCACCAACTCCAAGTGTCCCCACCTAACCATTACCAAGAGGGTTCATCCTATGCTCAGGTGGGGGCTTGGGACACCTCAGCAAGGGTTAGGTCTAGGCTAAAGGAACTCCCAGGAGCTGGGGAAGGGCAGATTTTGAAGGCATGGACCTCAGCGGAGCAATCTGAGTCTCCAGGAGAGGGAGGCAGGGTCCATGACACTCAACAACAGGGAGAAGTCTTTGGTTGGAGATCTTTGTGACTGAAGGTGGCAACTCTTGCTTGGTACCCCCGTGGGCTCCTCTCTTCCTCTTTTCTGGTTTCTCTGTCTCATTTTAGCTCCCTCTGACTCCTCCATCCTCTTTCCTTTACCTTCCGTACTCTCTGTCCTCCCCTCCAAACACACATCCCTTTTCCTGACTTTCTCTCCACTATGCCTCTCCTCTGCTGCTCTTTCATTTTCCCCCTGATGTCTTGTGAATTCTCCCCTTCACTCAGTCCTTCACAAGGAAGACAGTGTGTGGGCACAGAAGGAACAAGAGCTCTTGGGTTAGACACATCGGGTTCAGATCCTGTCACGGCCACTTTTTTTGCTGAGTGACCTTAGGCAAGTTGCTTAAACTTCTCTGAGCCTGTTTCCTCATCTGTTAAATGGGAATCAAAATACCAGCCCCACAGGGTGGTCTTGAGGATTCCATGTGAGAAGGGATGTGAGTGTGCCTAGCACAGTGCCAGGCCCTTAGCAGGTGCTCCGTAAAAAACAAGGTCCTTGTGTCCCTCGTCCTACCTACCACTGTTTGTCTCATTCCAGCCTTCTCCCTTGCCCCAGCTGCCTCCACTGGCCCCCACCCTACTGATCTCTGAGCCCTTCTGCCCAGTCTGAGTTCCATGGACTGCTGCACTTTGGGTTTCTCTCCCCTGCCATCCCCACCACCTTGTGTGACCCATGTGCTGGCTCACTCCACAGGGCAACTGTACTCACCCCGAGGACATGAAACTCTGCACCGTTATCATGAAGTCTAATGGGAGTTTCCCAGTGAACAGGCGGAGAGTGGTAAGTGCTCAGGCCAGGGACCCAGAGCCAGGTCTTTCTGTCCCTAAGGAAGCCCACTGGCCATGGTTCTGAGACCTCAGAAGCTGGCCAATGGGAGAAGCACCCCCAGAAACCCCCACCTTGCTTCAGCTGAAGGCAGACTCACCGTGCACACCTCCAAGCAGACATGGAGTGAGACACCTTGGTTCTGCAAGGCATGGATGTGTACAAGAAAACGGTTGGCCATACCAACATAATAAAAATGATAATAATGGCTATTCGCATTTCTCAAACATCTACCATATCCCTATTATCTCATCAAATCCTCACCTCGACCCCGGGAGGTAAGTCTCTTTGATCGAACCGATCTTCAGTTGACAGAAGAGGAAACAGGCTCAGAGAGATTAGGCAACCCACCCATCTCAAGAGTTGGTGATACTAAGCCCAGACCTGTGTGACTCTGAAATCCACACCTGTGTTCTTTCCACTGATATGAGCTGCCTTACGGATGGGCAGGTTCTGGGGGAGGACGGAATAGAGCAACTGCAGGGACTGGTGGTGCAGCAGTCTGTGTACATAGAGCCCTCAGGTGCAGAAGCACAGCAGACCCCCGCCTCTGCCAGGTGGTAGCTGTACCAGGATGCAAGCAGCAGGCATTCCATCCTCCAGAGGGATGGAGAACAGGGCCAGAGAACCCACAGAGGGCCGCATACAAAATCCAGGTCAGGTGTCCTGCCTTCACCTGCACTGCAAGGACAGGACTCTAAGAAGCTGTTTATGAGGCAGATGCTAAAACAGAGCCTCAGAGTCAGGACCAAGGCAGCAGCCCAGTTATGCCACCTGGGCACATAGTGAAGCTGCACTTCAGAAGTTCAGACTAACACCTCCAAGGCCTCAAACAGGAGAACCTACAGAAGAACCCAGGAGGTCATGAGTGGATCCATGCCAGGGCCCTCTAGGTCACCCCGGCAGGGAAGATGTGAGGCCCCGGGGGTCAGCCCTTTGGCACCTGGATCAGTCTATCCAGAAGAATATGGAGCCCATGTGTGTATGCAGGTGCAGATACCCATGAAGTGGGAGCACTGGGCCCCTCGTTTGACAGGGAGAACAGGGGTGGCTGCCCTCTTTGCAGTTGGAACATGAGTTTCTGGAGGCAGGGTCAAACATCATCAGCTCTTGACCCCAGCAGCCAGTGCGGCACCTGGCACTTTGCTAACAGTAAGTGTTGCTCAGGCCATAAGAGATAAGTCCGTGGTACTCAGTCCCGGCAGAACAGAGGTGGGGTATTAAGGCTGCATGAGGATTGCCATGGGAAAAAGGACAGGGTCAATCCTGCCAGGGCTGCCATGGGTCCTGGGTCCCATGCCTCAGTGACATCCTTGCTTCCCTGGCAGGGTGACCCTGTGGTGTCTGCAGGAGTCTTCAGAGGGGGAAAGGGAGGGGCCAGTGAGATGGGAGGCTGATGCCTGGAAACTGGTCCGGCTTTACCCAGAGCCCTCTGCCTCTGGTGCAGGAGGCTGCCCGGCGAGCCCAGGAGCTGGAGATGGAGATGCTCTCCAGCACCAGCCCACCCGAGAGGACCCGGTACAGCCCCATCCCGCCCAGCCACCACCAGCTGACTCTCCCCGACCCGTCCCACCACGGTCTCCACAGCACTCCTGACAGCCCAGCCAAACCAGAGAAGAACGGGCATGCCAAAAACCACCCCAAGATTGCCAAGATCTTTGAGATCCAGACCATGCCCAATGGCAAAACCCGGACCTCCCTCAAGACCATGAGCCGTAGGAAGCTCTCCCAGCAGAAGGAGAAGAAAGCCACTCAGATGCTCGCCATTGTTCTCGGTGAGTCGGCCCTGGCTGCTGGCCACAGCTCCGTCTGCGAAAGGTCCCATTCCCTGCCACGTCCTTCCTAACCGTGGCTGCAGGATCATGGGGCTAGCGTTTCCTCGGGCACAGGCCAAGCCCATTGACATACAGACAGCCCTATTAGGTAATTTCTGTACTTGTGCTCACTTTACAGATGGGCAAACAGAGGTTTAGAATGGTTATAAAACCTGACCAAGAGGACCGGTGGTTTGAACTCAGACAGTCTGACTCGAGTCTGGGAATTTGATCAGTCTATTATGCTGGCACCAGAACTTCATGTGTCTGTGTGCCCAGGAAAGTCACTTTCTCTCTCTAGACTCCCCATCTGTAGAGTAGGTTACTTCTCAGGGTTGTCGTGACAATCCGTTGGTGAAAGCATTTTCTAAGCTACAAAGCACTATCCATAGGTAAGTGTCATTATTATGGTTTTTATTACTATTGCTCTTGTTGAGGAATTGGGAAATTCAGTTCACTTCCCTCAAGCAAGATTCCATGGGACCAGAGCTGTGAAAAATAAAAGGGATGTTGGGGAGTGGCCCCCAATCTAAATGAAAAGCAGCCCTGTCCACAAAGCAGGATTTTTCAATAGAAGTCTAGAAAACCACGTGGTAAAGGTCGAAACCCAAAAGGTGGACTGATATGCGTGGCTGGGAAAAGGAGGGACCCCTGTGACTCTGTCTTCCAGGAAGCACCTGAATCCCCTTTGACTGCCTGATGATCTTGGGGCATGAGTGGGGCAGCTGTTACCTCCCTTCTTTTATGAATGATGGCACTTGTTTCCGTGGGACCACTCATGATCATGGGACTGGGATGTGGTAGGCTGGGATTGGAGCCAGACCCTCTGCTGCAGTCCACAGGGGCTCGGCCCTGTGGCCCTACTCTTCCCAGACACTGTTCAGTCTCCAGGGACGCCTCCTGTGCCTGTAGGGCATTCCATGTACACACTGCTTCCAGGCTGAATGTCACACCTGCGCAGGAGGTCCTGGAAAAAGTGCACCTGAGTTAGGTGAGCAGAGCAGGTAGGCGGCCGCCCTGGGTGAGAGGGCGTGGTTCGAGGCAGGGATGAGCAAGTGTGTACCCACCAAGACTAGGGAAATTGGGAGAAGGCTGGAGCAAGATCACTTGGGGACCTGGATAGACCGGAGTTCAGCTCTCAGCTTCGCTGCTTAAGAGTGAGCGACCTTGGGTATATTGCAGAGTTGTTGGGAGCGTTTTTCTTACGTACCTCATGAGGATGCTATAAGAACTAAGTGACATTGGTCTATAGCCCTCAAAGATGACCTGGAAGTAGAGCAGATATTTCCATTTCTACTGGCTAACCTGGGTCAGAGTGGTAACCTTTTGGATTTATTGTTAAACCATGTACCCTTTCCTAAGAGGTGGGAAAGGGACAAATGAGGAAAGTGAGGCTGAAGGAGCTGAAGGGATCCTTCACTGCAAATGGGTGTCAGAGGCAGGTCTAGGATCCAAGACCGGGACTCCTCCTACAGTGCTGCTGTGGCTACAGCCCGCCGTCTTGGCATAAGTGCCCGCGCACACTGGGTGCGGCTGTTCCCAGCCGTGCCTCCCTGGCCCTGGGGACCAGCCTGACCATGCCCTCTCCCCTAGGCGTGTTCATCATCTGCTGGCTGCCCTTCTTCATCACACACATCCTGAACATACACTGTGACTGCAACATCCCGCCTGTCCTGTACAGCGCCTTCACGTGGCTGGGCTATGTCAACAGCGCCGTGAACCCCATCATCTACACCACCTTCAACATTGAGTTCCGCAAGGCCTTCCTGAAGATCCTCCACTGCTGACTCTGCTGCCCGCCCGCACAGCAGCCTGCTTCCCGCCTCCCTGCCCAGGCCGGCCGGCCTCACCCCTGCGAACCGTGGGCAGGAAGGCCCGGGTGGACCAGTCTCCTCTTCACCCCGGCAGGCCCTGCAGTGTTCACTTGGCTCCGTGCCCCTCACTGCCCGCACACCCTCACTCTGCCAGGGCAGTGCTAGTGAGCTGGGCATGGTACCAGCCCTGGGGCTGGGCCTCCCAGCTCAGGGGCAGCTCATAGAGTCCCCCTTCCCACCTCCAGGCCCCCTATCCTTGGCACCAAAGATGCAGCCGCCTTCCTTGACCTTCCTCTGGGGCTCTGGGGTTGCTGGAGCCAGAGTCAGGGCCCAGAGGCTCAGTTTTCTCTGTTTGTGGGGCTTGGCATGGAGCAGGCGGTAGGGGGAGATGAACAGTTCACACCCTGCAAGGCCCACAGGAGGGAAGCAAGCTCTCTCGCCGAGGAGCCAGGCAACTTCAGTCCTGGGAGACCCATGTAAATATCAGACAGCAGGATGGACCCCAGAGATTGCCAAGCCAAAAACCTTAGCTCCCTCCCACACCCCAATGTGGACCTCTACTTTCCTGGTGAGTCCGGACCCGCCTCATCCCGTTACAGCTCCCCAAGTGGTTTCCACATGCTCTGAGAAGAGGAACCCTCATCTTGAAGGGCCCAGGAGGGTCTATGGGGAGAGGAACTCCTTGCCCTAGCCCGCCCTGCTGCCTTCTGATGGCCCTGCAATGCATCCCTTCTCACAGCACTTACTGGCCAGCCTGGGGCCTGGCGGGGAGGTCAGGCCCTGGAACTCTATCTGGGCCTGGGCTAGGGGACGTCAGAGGTTCTTTGAGGGGCTGCCTCTGCCACACTCGGACGCAAAACCACTTTCCTTTTCTATTCCTTCTGGCCTTTTCTCTCTCCTGTTTCCCTTCCCTTCCACTGCCTCTGCCTTAGAGGAGCCTAAGAGGCTGCTGAAAACCATTTGGCCTGGCCTGGTCCTGCCCTGAGGAAGGAGGGGAAGCTGCAGCTTGGGAGAGCCCCTGGGCCCCAGACTCTGTAACATCACTATCCATGCACCAAACTAATAAAACTTTGACGAGTCACCTTCCAGGACCCCTGGGTAGAAGGGAGCAACGCCACTTCCATGCTTGGCATTCAAGTGTAGCGAGACCCCTGTGTCTGCAGGGTCTAACTCAAGGGAAGCCAGGTCGCCCCCACTGCTCCACCTCCCCTGTTGCAGCTCCTGCTTCCTCGGAAGGACCCATTCTTTGCCCTGTCACCCACCAGGGAAGAGAAGGCTCTGTGGAAAAGTGGCCTTGGATGTACTGGCATTGCCTGTGTCTGCCTGTGTCCCTTGCCCTGTCTTCTGTCCCGTGTCAGGATCCCCTTCCTCTAGGGCAGGCTGGGAGAAGCAGGGAAGGCCCTGACTACTGCGGCCTGGACAGTTCTCCCTCCTCTCAGCCTCCAGGCGGGCCCCTAGCTCCAAGTCTTCTGGGGCCACAACTTGGTACTGCCCTGACAACAGAAACTTGACTTTCTACAAATGAAGTGTAAATCAACCCAGTGAGGGAGGAATATTCTTACCACCTTGAGAATAACTGCAGTGATGACAAACAAGGTGCCGGCACCCACGGGCTCAGGCTCTGGGGAGCTGTCAGGGCGTAATTTGCATGCTAAATACAATATTTTTAGCACCAAAGTTTGGAGCACTTAACTTGCCCTGAACAGTTAATTATGGACTTTGATCTTCTCCCTGAACCTAAAGGTAGTGCTAAGCCCTGGGTGAGGCTCCTGTCCCCAGGAGCACCCTGATTCTGGAAGGTGAGCAAAACAGGTCCCTAATCTAACTCAGGGAGACCAATGACTCAGTGACCATCTCCTGGGGAAAGCATCAGGTCCCCAAGGGGGCTAGAAGCCCCAGGGACCCAACCCATCCCCATTGCACACATACCATGCTCAAACTCTATGAAAGATCTTGACCCAGATGGATGCTTAAAAGTACATCCCACGATTAGGAATCTTATGAGGGTATACAAGCTTATCAGATGTTAGGATTGGAAGAGATGACAAAGAGAAGCAGAGGAAAGAAGGAAGGGAGGGAGGGAGAAAGGGAGGGAGGGAAGGGAGACCCAGAGCAGGGTGAGAAGAGCATTGACAGGGAGCAGAGGGGAAGAGGGCAGGGCAGGGGCGGGAGGCGGGGCGGAGGAAAGTTGCCCACAGTTGTCACGAGGCTTCATGTCTTTCTGCCAGACAGCAGATTGACAGCTAGAGTGGGCAGGGGGAGGGCTGGGCTCCACCCTCTCTCCCCTCTCAGCACTTCAGGGGCAAAGAAATGGGAGGAGTAGGACCCGACACGACACGGGAACACAAGGTGGAAGGGGGTGGCCCAGGCTCTGACTCTCTCCAGAGAGGTCCTGACGATGGTCTCTTGCTCTTGATGACAGGGTGGAAAGGAAGCCTCCAGTTTTCACTCCTCTTTGCCTTTCCCTAGGTTTCTGTCTGTGCCTGTGCCGCTCTGTAGAGTGCCTTTTAATCAAAGGATCATTCATTTGCCTTTACAGCAGATAGAGTCTGCACCCTTGCCCCCTGCCCTGCCCTTTCCTAGAGCACAGCCCAGGATCACCACCTAAGGGCCAGGCACAGTGGGGCACTTTGCACATGTCATCTTAGATGGGAACTGAAATCACACAGTCACAAAGGAGCAGACCCAGAGGTGACTGCAAGTCTTCAAGGCTTCAGGCCCTCATTCTTCCTCCTGAAGGACTCTCAGATGGCCCTGGGCTGGGGAAGGGTCCTGGGAATTAGAAGATGAGTTGTTCAGCAGGCTAAGAAATTGCATTGCTTCATCCACCTATCTGCTGTCTTCCTCAGGGAATACTTATTGAGCAATTCTTGTGCCTCAGGCCCTGGGTGAGGTGCTGGGATTAAAACAGTCAAGAATGGTCACCGGCCCTGCCTTCGTGAGTTCAGTCTAGTGGGATCACAACAATGTAAGACTCCGTTTCCCCCAAGGCAGAGCCCAAGGAGGGCAGACAAAGCACAGGCACACGCTGTGCACTTCCAAGGCACCCTTCTACTAGACGACGTGTGACACAGCAGCCTTGGTGTGCCTTGGCCTTGAACAATGAGGTAGGGCACCAGTGGGGGCAGGAAGACTGACAGCATGGACCACTACTTCCTGCGTGGCTGGGGCAGGAGGCCCTGAAAGGAGCAGCTGCAGATCCTGCTTTCCAGGTGGTCTCAGCATAGGCACAGCCAGTTGCCTGCAACTAGGAACACTGAGGCCTGGCCTGCTTTGGGGGCATTTCCAGCATCCCCTCCTATCTGGAATCCCTTCCCAAAACATCCCTGTCCCCAGGGACTGCATAGCTCCTTTTACCTGGTGGCCCAACCCTCTCTGTGTCCCACTGGCTTACTGTCCTCTTGGGTCCCAGGACCTGGGCTCAGTGTGCTACTTTAGCTTCCATCTGCACAGGGCCCTGTCTGCGGGCTTTGCCCTCCCTGATGGCATGTTCTTCTCCTAACAGCCTGGAGTGAGGGGCATTCTTATCATCTCCACTTACAGAACAGAAACCTCTCATACGGAAAGGGTGGTTTCCCTTTCAGGGTAGATCTTCTGAGTCTACATCTTATATTGTCCATTCCAGCCCAGGCTTCTGACCAGGCTGAGTGCAGCTGAAAGATGCTAGGATGGTCAGAAGATTTTTTTTTAAAAGAGAAAGAATACCTGTTTTGGACCAGACCTGTAGGGTAACAGCCTGGGGTGCATGTCAACAGAACCTGGGCTGCTCCAGGAAGCAAGTGGGTAGGTGGTGGGGACAGAGCAGTTCTTAGTGGGGCTTCAGGACTGAGAAAGCCAGTCTGGGCATCTGTGTGCTGGAGGGTCCTCTCCTGCCAACCAGGTGGCCCTGGCTCTGCTACACTAGTTTCTGGGGGTACACGGGGAAGCAGGAGGCTGGTGGAGGGAGAGCAGACCATCTTTGGAGTGGGGAGACCTACCCTGGTTTTGTGGGGTTAGAGGGGACGTGGGAAGGGGGTACCTGGTAGGAACAGCTTCCTGCTTCCTCTCTCATCACAGTTCTGCTACTTGGCAAATAAGGCCTCATTGGAGCAGAGGCCCAGAGAGGCGCAGGAGAGGGAATGACAAGGAGGGATGTGGAGAGAACTCTGACTCCCAACCAGAGCCAGAGACAGCCCCAGGTTCGTAGGAAGTGCTGCATGTCTGCTCCACTTGCATGTGGCGTTCTCCCACATTCACACCTGGCTTCTGACACCCAGAGCTGCGCGTGAGGCCAGGGAAGGGGGCCACCTCTCTGGCACCCCAGGGCCAGGGGGAGTCAGAGCTGCACAGGAAAGAAGTGAAGGATGGCTATCCGGAAAGCAGGGAGGTGGTGCCATTCCAGGAATGGGAGGGCAGGGCCTGGGGCCATGGACTGTGCAGAGACAAAGCTGGACCGTCTACACCTGCTGGATTTTCCTCATCAGGCCCAACTCCCAACACTTTGTCCTGTTGCCCCCAGGAGTGTGTAAGTTGTGGGGAGGGTCATGTGGGGGGCCAGGATCTGTGCTGTGTCCAGGGCAGGGGAAAGCATGGGAGGGGCAAGAGAGGCAGGACACTGCCCTGGAGGAGACAAGTCCCTTGTTGGTTTTCTCCCAGAGCTGGCGGCACAGACCTCACCCAGGCTCTGGGTAGAGGAGGCATGACCGGCTAGTGGGGCTGGCCCTTGCTCTATAACTGACCTGATCCGTAGGTGTTTCCCAGGGGGCTTCAGTGTCTCAGCCCACACCAAGGCACTGAAGGAGAGTCTCCCTTTCCTTTCCTGAGTGTATTGGCAAAGGGAAATGGGCAGAGGCTTCTAAGAGCATCCTTGCAAAAGGCTCCCAAAGGATGGACTGTCTATGTCTTATTGCAAGAGAAACATTCCTCTGATTTAGGAGGAACTGCAAGAAATGAATGTGTTGAGTGCTTATTAACTGCCTTGCCCTCTGACTGGCAGGGCATCAGGTTTAATTCTTACAACGACCCAGAGATAAGCATTACTGACACTGGATGATACCATCAAGCTAAGATAGTTTTAGCAACCTGGGATCTGCAACTAATAAATGGCTCAGCCAAGATAAGAACCCAGGTCTGCCTGCCCAGGTCCACTAGACCCAGCCACCCAGTTTCCCTCCCCGACCTCAGCATAGCCTGGTTCCTGTCCTCTGTCCCTTACATGACCTTACAGCAAAAACCCCTGCTACCGGTGATACGATTCAGCAAGCAGGGAGGAAGCACCCTCTGAGCCCCAGACACCAGGGCACTAAGAGGGGACTGGAAGGAACACAGAAACAAGTGGGGCGTGGTGATGTGCCATGCAATGAGCAAGGAAGGTGGACCTGAGAGCAGCTCTGTCAACCTCACCACACTGGGCATCGCGACAGAATGCCCCTGAGGAAGGAGTGAGCATCTCCAGGGGGCAAGCGGAGAAGTGTTCGTGGGCAGGGACAGGCAAGTTGGATCTGGAAGGGCAGATCAGATCCCGGCAGGCACCGGTGGAAGAAGGGGACTCAGCATTAGCAGGAAGAGGGGCCTGGGGCTAGTGGGGGCTGCAGCAAGGCAGCAAGGCTGGCTGGTTTCAGAGTGGGCTGGAGCCCTAACTCACTGGAGGCCCTCACATGTTGGTGAGATGTGTTCTCTAGGTAAGCGCAGGGGGCATCAGGAAAGGAATGTTCCTGAACACAAGATCACCCCAGAGCTGCCATCTGTGTGTTCAGGAAGTCCTGGGGCTCCCTCCTTCCTCTCCTCCCTGTCACAGGCCCGGAGCCTTGTTTCCTCCCCTTCTCAGCCCTTCCCCTTGTCATTCTCTCTCTGGGGCTCACTCCCCTCAGGTTGGCTTTGGAGAGGGACACCAGCTCCCCAGTCTCCTCATTTTCCATAGGCCTTTTCACCCCTGAGGAGTTTTCTGCTGATCCCCGCAGTCCTGCCTCCCTTCTAGACAGTGGCGGCAGCCCGTTTGGGCCTCTGCCCTACACTTTGCTGTGGAGACAGCTTGCCAAGGCTGCCCTGCTCCTTTAGGATCCCCAGCCTCATAACTGGAGGGTTCCATCAACAGCTTCCAT